AGAGTACAGTACCTAGGCTGACGCCCCTGTACCATGCCCAGCTCGTAGTGAATGTTCAGGTCAAGTTTCCGCTCCACCTGCTTCTCATTGCTGTGGGCGCTTTTATGGTAAATACAACGTGCGACGTGTAGAGTTTAGAGTTTAGTAGGAGGCATGGACAGTACACGGACAGACAACGAAAACAATACACACTTTCCCTTCTCCCTGATATTTTCCTCTAGGTTTAACACCGTCATACTATGTTTTCCATTTTGATTTTGTGTGTGTAAAAGTTTCTGTTTCTCCTTTGAAGTGTCCCGGTACCTAGAATGATGGCTGGCACTTTGTAAATGCATGTTCAGTAAACAAATACAAAACAGACATAAATAGAAGATTGATAGAGATAACTAGGACGAAGTTTCAGGGAGGCACCCTAGGGGAGATGACCTTTCAGCCAAGGTCTGGAACTTGGGAGAGGAGGCAAGCAGAGTTGACATTTGTCAGAGTGTGGCTTGGAGATGGCTCCTCATAGACTAAAAACGCAAGAGGTGTAGAGGAGACATGGATCAAATCTTTAAAATTAATGACTAAAATGGCCAAATTCTCCATCAGTTTTTAAAACAGCAGAGAAACATGGAAAGGTAATTTAAGGCAGAGACTGATATGACTAACTCTTACACCGTTTGGCAGTTTACAGTTACCAGGACTCTTTCCCTTTTTTCTCTGTAGCCCTTAAAACCACATGGAACAAGAAATGGGCATAAAGAAGAGCCTAGACCTCATTCACTCATAGTAGATACCTGGTACATAGCACACAATTAGAATGGATGGAATTGTTGGAATGCCATGCTGGCTGCTAGGCTCTGTAAGGCCTGTCTTTACCTCTGTTACCTCTCAGCACCTGTTTTCTGTGCCTGGCTCTTGGACCATTTTTGTTTAAAGTTTCTTTTTTTGTTGTTGTTTTGCAGTACTGGAGATCAGACTTAGGGCCTCTCATATGCTGGGCAAGTGCTCTTTCTCTGAGAAACATCTGCAGCCTTTCCTGACTATATTTGTAAAGTGAATGAACACTCACCAATCACTGGGAGCCTTCTGTATAGTAGGCCCAGTGGGGAAATACAAAAAGAAGACACTGTCCTTGTCTTCGTAAGAGACCTAACCTCTAAACCCTCCTGAAGTCATTAGAGTTTCTGTGCAGATGAACTAGATTTTCTGAAGCCAAGCACTTTAATGTACTGTGAAAAGGTTTCACACAGAGGAAGTCAGTGGTACTAAGTGGTAAGTGCACCCCCACCAGACGGTAGATTCCATAGCTGACCCATTCTTGTCCCAGTGCTTGCACAGCCTGGCACCTGCATGCCTTGGGGAGGATGTGAGAAGTAGAGGAGACAATAGCATAACCCCTGTTTTTCTCCCAGGCCAGCAAGGCCTCACAGAATCTGACCTGCTGTGGGAAGAGTGTGCAGTTGTCCCTCCCAGGCTGGCCAAGCCCCTCTGACAATGGACAAGAGGGAGGAGGAAGAGGATACTGAGGAAGCCTGGCTGCAGCTGCAGCCTGTGGAGCCCTTGCCCTCCCAGTGCTGTGGCAGTGGCTGCTCACCCTGTGTGTTTGACCTCTACCACCAAGACCTGGCAAGGTGGGAGGTGGCCCGAGCCAGCAACGACAGGAGCCTGCTGAGTGGGAAGCAGTCACAGGTGAGGAGACTGCTTCTCAGTGGCAGTGTTTACCTGCTCTGGAAGCTTTCTCTGGACAGCAGAAAAAAAAAAGTGTGCATACTGGAAGCAGTCCGTTGTGGGGTCAAAGTCTAGGTCCAGAACAAACTTCTTAGCAGCTGTGTGGATGTAGGCTAAGTTCCTTAACCTCCCTATGTCTCAATTTCTCCGTCTGTAAAATGGGACTAAGCATTTGTAATACATGGCATAGAGCCTGACATTTATTTCACTTAGATACCTGCTGAGTACCCATTATACACCGGGCCCAATGAGCTCTTGAGGAATTGAGAGTGGGGAAGACAGGCGTGGTCTTTGCCCCATGGAAAGCATGAGCCGATAGTATAGACTAGGTACATAGAGCATGTTGTTGTTATTTCTTCCTCTCTGCCTCTACTGGCTTTTTCTTTTCTTTCTAAACTCCAAGGGACTTTATGGTCTGGACTAAGCAATTTAGGCCTTCATTGTAGTGTTTAAGAGGGTTCTCAATTTCAGTTATAGGTGTCTGACACTAGAGAATTCAGCTCCATATTCTACACACTGGGAAACTGAGGACCATTCCTCTGACACTATGCACAGGTCTATTGTTGAATCTGTCCCCTTCCTGGTCTCTCACCTTTGAGCAGACTTTCCATGGTCCTTTGTTCCTTCTGAACATTGTGGAGTAGAGACATCTCCCATTGCTGCCTCTGTTAACGTAGCTGGGCCCTGTTACTTTTTGGCCATCGCAGTTTGGCCAGAATGCACCAAAGCATAGTTATTTTTACACACATGGTTCCTAAGCTATAGATCATATAGATCACAGATCCTGAACAAATGCAGTTGTGTGTGTTTGTTTATTTGTTCGTTTAACTCCAAAACATGACCATACCTATTCCTGTTAAATTTGTAATTCCGCCTCTGGAAGGTTGGAGTAGGGGTCACAGCCTTGGGGCCTCTGCCAGTAACGGAAGCCCCTGTGATTTTCCCTTATCACTGCTTTCATCTTTATATAGCTCATTCTTCCACTTCTTTTAGCTCAAATCTTGTTCACTCGTGTGTGTGTGTGTGTGTGTGTGTGTGAGTTGCTAGGAATTGAACTCAGGGCCTCGAACATGTTAGATGAGTACTCTTCCACTGAGCTGCAGCCACAGGCCTTCTTCCTAATACTCAGCACTACCAAACGCCTTCTAGATGTACTTGTTTGCATATACCTTGTCTTATCTCCTTGCTAAAAATGTGAGTTTTATAAGAGAAGGGGTCTCTGGCTCATTCTTTTATCCTCAGCATCTCGAGCAGTGTTCCTGGCATGATAGTCAATAAGTAAGTGTTGAATGAACAAAATTTTCCCAGTTCTGCTAAGCAACACATCCTGTGCACTGGGCACAAGCAAGTTGGTGACAAAGATTCCAGAATTACAACCCTCAAAAAACTCAACTTATAGGAGAACGACAAAAACCACGAGAGTATAATAGAAAGCATGTAAGCTGAGCCCCAGTTCAGACACTTGTGTGGTTTTGGCCATGTCACTTTAGTTGGCAGAAGCCCAGTTTTCTCATCTGAATAACGAGGCTGTTAATACTTTGTAAGTTATCATGAGGATTTCATAAGCTAAATATGTAAAAGCCTATGGCATATAATAGGTACTCAGGAAATAGTAGATGTTTTCACCTATTATAACAAACAGTGAAATGATTCTCATAAATCTTACAAAATAGCATATTTTAATCTAAGAATTTTAACAAATAATTGAAAAAAAGATTTTATATTTCAATAGCCATTTATACTTTATAAAGTGATTTTCTATTATCTCATCTGAACCTTATGATCACCCCACAAATATATAAGGAATGAGTGGCCCTTTTTTATAGATAAGGAAACCGAAACCCCGAAGATCAGATGACCTGTGTAAAGCTGCACAGGTGGGCAACAGCTCAGCTGGGGCTAACCTGGTGCTCCTGACTTCCAGCCTAGTGCTCTTGGCCACTGTGGCAGCTGTGACAGAGTGCCCAGGTGCTCTGGCTGCTGATGAACAGGTCATCTCAGGAGGAGTGCAGTCCAGGAAGTGGTGTGGGGGAGGCAAAGCTTGGGATAGTAGCCCGAGAGTTTCTGTTGGCTCTGTGATACTGTCAGCGCTACATGGGTAATTGGGGTTTGTCTTTGTTACTTTTCTCATTGCTGAGAAGACAGAATACCCAATAACAAAGTAAAAGGAGGAAAGGTCTGTTTGCCTCACAGTTCATAGAGATTTCAGTCCATGATAGGCTGGCTCCAAGGCAGGGGTGGCCGAGGGGTGCTGCAGAGGAGAGACAATCCATGGTGGGCAGAAGGCAGCAAAGTAGCAGAAGCAGTAAGCAAGCTGCCTTTATATTTCATCCTGCGCACACACCCAGGTGGGGCACCCCTAATCCCAGAATCACCGTAGATCCAAAGAGCCCCACCAGTGACCGTATGAGAATTTGGAGGGACATCTAGATACAGCCATACCAGAGCTCTAGAGCTGGTACCCAACCTGGCCTGACAAGTGAGTCCCAGGTCTGGTGAATCAGGTGTGGATATTTTCTAGAGGAGCGCTTGGTGAGTCATACATTCAGAGACTCATAGATTTGAGTCCCTGCTCGCAGTGTGACTTTGGACAAGTAAGCGACTACTGCTCAGCCTCTATGTCCTCAGATGTAACAAGGGTATTGGATTAGGTCATCTTGAAAGGTCCGTCAAGTTTCTCAGCTATGCTGATCTGGAGTTTAGCAGGTTGGCAGGATGAGCAGGTCTTTCATACACTGGAGGTGAGTGTTCTGGATAGAGGGCTAGCCTTGAGCAATGAGGACCCAGGAGGAGGGGCAGTAGGCGTTCTTGGAAGAGCGAGAAGTCAGACATCGGATTCATGAGAGACAAAATGAGGCTTGAGGTTCATCCACTAGGCCCTTGAGTGTAGGCTGAAAAGCTTGTGCTTGATTCTGGGGCCGAAGGGAGCCACAGAAGGCTTAAGAGCAGGCTAACCCCAGTTTACAGAGCTAACATTGTTGGATCAGAGGGAAGTAATTTGGAGCTACAGTCTGTCCCCCAGAAAGCTTACCAACTGAGGCAGCTCTTGTAGGAAGGAAAGTGGGGAGGATGCTGCGCACCTCTTGAGCTCAGCCTCTACCATTTTCCTCTTTACAGAGCTGTCCATCCTCACTGAGCCCGGAGAGCTTCTTGGCCTTCAGCATCACTGCTGTGGACAAACTCACCAAAGATACCTACCGGGTCCAGTTCGCACTGCCTGGGAACAGCCGGCTTGGCCTGCAGCCCGGGCAGCACCTTGTCCTACGGTACACTCAGATGTGGGAGGAGTGAAGCTTCACTGCCCTGCTTTGCCATTGGCCAGCTGGATGACCCAGAGCAACATGCTTGACCTCCCTTCAGGCTCATTTTTCATCTTCAAAATAGAGTCATGTGTGACTCAGAGAGTTCCTGGGATGGATCTGGACAGTACATTTTCAAGATAAATGAGCACTTTAATAGTGTTTACCAACCACAGCACAGTTATATACGTGAACTTGTGCGAGCCTCACAAAGCCCTATGTACTAGGAGTTTATCATCCACCAGAGGAAGCAGAAGTCAGAGAAGTTCAGGGACTTCCCTGAGGTTACATAGTTAGGAAAGGGTAGAGCCAGAATCTGAAGGCAACACTCTGGCTCTAGAGCCTGTGGTTTTAACCTAATCCAATTAGCACTGGTTGATAGAAAGACCACTGTCACTGAGAACAAAGAACATGACCAAAATTATATAGCTAATCAGTCATGGAGGCAGCGTTCAAACCCAGACAGCCGGGCTCCTGCTGTGCCTGGCATCAGCGCTCTGCTTCCATACTGATCCCATCCCACCCCTTTTCCGGGGTTTCCAGGTAAGAGCACCTGCCAGGCAGGCAGCTATGTGGGTCTGAGGCTTTGGGAGTTGTCAGCACATAGCTGGCTGGCATTTGGGAGCACACGTGTGTGAGAAAAGAAATCGCTGAAAACTCTGGAGTTTGTGGGATTGGCAAGAGGAGGAGGTGCCAGCAAGTAGGTGGGAGGAGCAGGCAGAAACCAGATGGAACCCAGGAGAGGGTTGGCTAAATGTTTCCATCCGGCCCTCCTGCTGCCGATGCCCGGGACAAGACCCATTTTCTCCCTGCATACCTGAGTGAAGCATGTTTCTCTGCATGGGATTTGAGAGAGGAGTGCTTGGGTGCTTCCAGGCTGAGCAGTCGTGGGAGCCCCACCCGGGAGTCAGTAGTGCAGTTCTAGCTGGGCAAGTCACTCTGCCTACTGTACCAGATTCTGCATTTGCAGTACAGTTTGAATAGAATTAGGTGTACAATATACTTGATGTGTAGCAGGCCTCTGATATAGATGGCTGTTACTGCTGACCCGCTGTGGCTGACACTGTGGGGAGGGTTTGCGCAGGGGACAGTGCTTTGGACTAGGGCCCCTTCAGGATCCTTCCAGGTCCACTTCTGGCATGTGGCTGTAAGTGTTCCATAAATCTTAGCAGTTGTGTTAGCCTTTACCTCTCTATGGTTGAGGTCAAGAAAACGTCCAAGATACTTTGCATGATCCACCCACTTTGTTTTGTTTTGTTCTTGCAGTGCCAAGGACCCAACCTAAAGCCTCACACACTGCACACGCCCTCTGCCACTGAGGGAGATTCTCAGCACACGTTTTGCAGCACTTCCTCTTGTCTGTTGTTCCAGCGGAGCCACACAATCAGGACATAGATAGCTGTTCCCACTTTGCAGTGGGTGCTGCTGAGGCAGTAAAGGGCCCTCTCTGGGTCTCATAAGCAATGTGTGGCATTGGCGAGCCCAGCACTCTTTCTTCTGCAGCACCTAACCTGCCCCTCAGTGAAGTCTCTAGGGATGACTGGACTTCACCTGTATTTTCACTAGCCTGAAACAGGAAGTACTGAATGGGGGCTTATTGAATGACTAACTGACCACTTCCTGACAATAGGCTTCTCTTTCCTAGAGGGATAGTGGAAGACTTAGAAATTCAGAGAGCCTACACTCCCATCAGCCCTGCCAATGCAGAAGGGTACTTCGAGGTTCTGATTAAGGTGAGTTGGCGCTTGTGGAGGATGCTGTCAGATGGAGTGGACCTGTGTTTCCTTTGCCAGCTCTTTGGGAATGGAACAGTTTCCACCTGGGGTTCAATGGGAGGAGGCTGAGTTGAGGGAGCAGCAGAGCCAGGTGAAGCGGGGGGGGACCCTACTGCTGGCAGCACGTGTTCCCAGGAGACTTTTCCCACTGGCAAGTGAGCTCGGGCTGGCACAGGGAGGGGGACGAGCTCCTGCACTTGCTGTGTGCTAGATGCCGGGGCCCAGAGGCCCGCAGCTGCAGACACTGTGCCTACCCTGGAGGGACCGGGGATGATGATCGGATGTGGACAGTGCAGCATGACAGGTGCTGTGACAGAGGAGCTCAGCCCAGCTCAGGGCAGCAGGGAGCACGAGGAAGGTAGGCCCGGCCTCCTGGCATGAGCTGTGTGAGTAAGGAGTGGAGAAGAAGGGAGAGTGTGGGAGGAAGTTCACAGGCCTGGCGCCGGCATGGGTGGTGGCCAGAGAGGTGTGACCTGGGGATGTCAATGCTTCCCAGAATGGAAGGGAGGCCGCGGGGGCAGCGAACGCATGGAGAGAATTGGGCACAGGACGGGCATGGAGGGCCTCGTGGACTGAGCGAACCTGAGCCCACCTCTCGAGCTGGGCAGGGGCATTGGAGGCGGGCCTTGAAGAAGTACAAGCTGGTGGTGGCAGGGAATGGCGTGCCAGGCTGAAGGGACAGACACCGGGAGTGGTGACGCTGAACAGATCCGGGAACTGTGCCCTGCCCAACCCAAGGGCCAGGAGGAGAGACTGCTTCTGGGGCAGCGGCAGAGATGAGATGAACAAAGTGGGCTGGATACAAAATGCCCTCGAGAGCTGAGGACCAGGCAACACATGTGTAAGAAGCCACGGAGGTCCCATTCTGTGGAGATGGTCATTAGGCTGAAGGATGCCCAACTGCGATGCGCTCATGTTTTTGACTTACAGAAATAGCAGTTTGATATGGGTCAGCCTAATGCATAGCTGTATGCTCTCATTTCCCCAGTGGAGTTCCAAGTAACAGGAGTACTGGAGGAGAGCTCTGGCAGCCTAACCTCCCCTACAACGCATGCATTATTTCTGGCTCATTGACCAGTGAGCTGAGGCCCAGGAGGACCCGAGGTCCACGGCTCAGAAAAGTGCTGCTGGTGGGCCAGCCCTGGCCCCCGACTCATACACCCCAGCGTTCTGCCAGGCTCCCACCTTCCCTCCTGCCTGCAGAGCATGAATGTTTATTCCCTCACACATAAGCCCGGATGGGATCCCTTCTGCACACTGATGTTTGTCTGGGAGATTCCGCAAATCCTCTCCAAATGGCCCGCTTCCCTGCGCTGCTTGTCTGGGTGTGTTTTTGTCGAGAGGATAAGCCTGGAGACAGTTCTCTGGAGCAGCTGGATCCTTCCCAGCTGCATTGCTGGTTTTTTCCTTCATTTGCCGGGAAGCCCTCATTATCCCTAAGCTGCTGGCTAAGAAGAGCTGAAAATGTCTGCAAATTGGGAGAGCAGCAATTTGGGGTGGGGGTTCCTTCCTTGTTAGAGAGGAGAGAGGGCTCCTACTTCTTAGGGACCTGCTGGCCACTGGGCACTGCTTCTGGCTGTTTGTTCTCACCGTCTTGTTTCAGCCTCATAACCACCAATAGATCACGTTGTCCCCATTTTACAGCTGAAGAAACTGAAGCTCAAAGGCCCATTAGGCAATATGATGACAAGTGAGAGGAGTGTGTGTTAAGCATTTACTCCAGCCAGGCTCTGTGTGACTGCTGGAGACACAAGACTCCTTCCCTCCTCCTTGGTGGTGTCTGAGCTGTAGAACCTCTGTGACCATGGCTAGCTGTGCCTCCCCCAGTCTGGGGCTAGAAACCAGAGTGCTCTGAGACGCAGCCTCCAGCAAGGCAGGAGCAAAGCTGTGTCCCTGGGGAGATGTCGCATACCTCAGTAGTGGTGCGCTCGCCCCGCGTGAGTCCCCAGTCCCCCTTCACACACAGCGCATGCAGATGGTGTGTGGAGGTCAGGATGGTATCATGGCTGGCTGTGGGTGCTCGAAAGCAGCTCTGGAGATCAAAGCCTACTCCTTCCTTCAGCCTTCGTTCCACATGCCCTTTCAGTCCTGTCTCTAGTGCTTCCCGTTCACCCTAGCCTGCCATGGCTTCCTGCTCCTCCCAGGTGGAGCTGTCCTAACCTTGACTGTGCCACTCCCAGGGCTCAGAGTCCTCTCTGTGCTCTCACCCTGTCCCCAGGGAATTCCATCTTGCCCATCCTTCACAGTCCAGCTCAAACCTTCCTCTTCCAGGACCTCACCCTCCTCTGGGCTCTCCCCACACTTTATCCTGGGCACAGGGTGCTGGGTAGTCTCTCCTTTGTGTGTGTGTCTGAGACATAGATGCCTTGTAGGTCGTAAACCCCCCAAGGGTAGGACCTGGATCTGGATTAATTGGCTCATTGATCCATTCATTCAGGTATTTTTTAAGTCCTTTCCATGTTTCAGGCAATGGCTTCCTTCCTGGAGTTTAAGGTCTAGTTGTTTCCCTTGTAGTCCCATAATGGCGTGGGCACCCAGGCAGTGTTCTCTGCTCACCCCCATGGAGGGGTCTCTTCCGTGCCTTCATTGTTTCATTCAGCCAAGAGATGCAATAGGATAATGCAGAGACTACAAATGGATGGCCTGCAGGCTGCACCTAGCACACAGTACTTGGTTTTGACCTGTACAGTGTTTTAAAATTTTTTTATTAATTTCTGGCATTTAAAAATGGGAGATTTTGCCGGGCGTGGTGACACACACCTGTAATCCCAGTCCTCGGGAGGCTGAGGCAGGAGGATCCCTGTGAGTTCGAGACCAGCCTGGACTACATAGTGAGTTCCAGGTCAGTCTCAACTACATAGTGAGACCCTGTCTCAAAAAAACAAAAAAACAAAAAAACAAAAAA